TTATGGGGAAAAACATCCAAAGGGTTTTAGTAGATGGGACTGAGGGATCGGTTATCGCATAGATGGGAAAGAGAACAAGAAGTAAGATAAAAGAAGTACTTCTGCATATTTTTATTTATATTTGCATTACGGAAGTTTACAAACAAATACCTCAGCAATCGGCGCATCATCAATTTTTTATGCAAGCTGAGATTTTAGGGGAATGACTATCTGTAAAAAAATACAAAGTATGATTTCACAGATTCTCTGGGAAACTGAATTAGGCTGCACTGTGAACTAAATTAGGTCGATTATAACACACCACAGTTCCTCAAATTTCTGAATGAAATCCCTTAACTACTGCACTTCAGTACCGCCTACCAACTGGTGAAAACAAATATTTTTACCTCACTTGAATTTTCGGAGCTTTTTTTAATCCTTCTTATCAATTCTTGCTGCGACTGATTTCAGGACTCCAAACTTATCAGTTACAGGCTTTATCAACTTCGCGATCAAGCAGTTGCCCTGCTTCAGAGCTGTACGGAGAAAGCGGATATGTCATATGTGAACGAAGTAATTTTTCATTTTAATAATTTTAACAAAAATTTGCAGCAATCTTAAGTGTTAGGCGAAATCTTATCAAATGATACTGGGCATTTGTGGAGCATTTAGATATTTTGTTATAATGAGCGGGCAGCCGCTGCAGTTCCCTCGTTTTAGCTGAGATGCAATCATGCGATATGAGCAGCTAAGTAAGATCCTGGTGTTCAGAACTAAGTTTCACCTACCGTATTAATTAGGCGATAGCTTCATTCCTCTGAAAATCATCGGAGTTCCCGATACTACTTGAAAGTAGTCACCTTTTCTAAATTTCCTCATTTTTTTGAAATAGATGGGAATATCTATTTGCCTCTCTGCTTCTTTTAAATCGATTACTGAAAAGCATTCGATATAACTAGACTGAATGCTGTTCTAACAATTTTAATAAGCAAAATTAAAGCCAAAATTTCAGCTATTTCGAGGGTATAAATCAGTTAAAAAAGGCCATTAGCTGGAAATATCATATGGTTAGAAAAGCCTAGTGCTAAAGCATTCAGTAATTGTTCAATCAGAAATATTTTTAGTAAAAACTTAAAAAATCACATCTTCTCTTCGCGAGGAGAGTGACAATAGTGCTCTATAATGAATTGGTTTCTTAGAAAATGCTTCGTAATTCTAGAAAATTGGATTTTCCTGACCACTCCTTCATGTCCATTTTGCACTGGTCAACATAATTGGTAGCTTATTCTAAAAAGCACGAATTACGTGCA